AAGGGTAGTCCCCATCCGTACATCGGCCGAATGAGGGATCGTCTAGCTCGGGTTGGTAGAAAGGTTCGAATTAGAGCCCGATAAGAGTGTTGGTCCATCATGTCTTCCCAAACTTCGTCTAACAATCGTTGGTCTCCGGTGGAAGAGTCCAACGTAAAGTTATCCGAAGGAAGTCCGAGCTAAAATATCGGTTAAAGGAGGCATCGGCGAATGAGATTCGCCGAAGTAGGTCATGTAATCGCATAATATGTTCCATCGGGTCTCGTTCTAGAACCATAGTAAGGTTATTTAGCTCGACCCTAAACGCAGCTAGTGCTGCCCGTTGCCATCGCGTTCTAGGCACGCTTGGTACTCGATACAAAGCGGCATCTACGAGTGATAGGGTTTGTTGTTATTAATAATTTCAAATAAAATTTTATACACATTACACAATAAAAGAAAACATACATAGTTTAAGAGAACTAGAAATTAAAATTACCCATTCGAGAGCAAACCGGTCCTCGGGCTCATGTGGCACTTACGGTTCTACCCAACTCCCTAAACCATTGCTCGATACCATGTTGTAACGCCCCCACCCCGATCAGATTTCTGCTACCCAAGTAGAGTGCTTGGACGAAGCGCGTTACGGCGACATACCCTAAACTCTAAGTAGTTTTCTTATGATATTCTTAGGACTTTAACGATAAATTACGTACATAACTCCTTAAGATAAAATTTACATAACATAATTAAATACATTAATAAAACATTATAGGCGATATTCCATTTCTCACGAACTCCATACCCCAAATTTACGAGACAAAATAAAAACTAATAAATAGTGCCTCACATGAGCCGGTTAGGAAGAGCCAGTCGCATCCGTACCAACTCGTCCTTTTTCCGTCAAGACATAAAAAAATAACAACGAGGTGAGCCGAAGCTCGGTAAGCGGGGTGATACACGTGATATGCAATGTTGTTTTGACTTCCCACCATACTCATAAATTTTAATCTTGGGTACCACGGGTATTAGGCGATCTACTCTATTTATCATCCGGGAGTCCGAGATCACCTTCTGCTACAACGGAATTATCCCTCGTTGTAACTACTGTTAGCGAGAATCCATCGTCTAACGAGTAAGCACACGATTTGATTTCATCCGGATGATCCTCGGATCATCTTACGCTACAACGGAATTATCTCTCGTTGTAACTACTATTAGCGAAAATCCATCGTCTAATAGTGCGAGCACACAACCTAGAAGTCTTGGACTACTAATACCCACTTATTCCAATTAGGTTATCAAACCTAGATGTATAAACGGTTTCTCAATCAATTGACTTGTTTTAAACCACCCACTATGCACATGATGCACGTGATGACATATTTAATCACATTCAACCAAATTCGGGTACCAACCGTTCATTCTCATGCCATACTCACGGTCCAACTCACACTCGGAATTTATCCATTTCTCACATACCAATCATGATACCCACAGCGGAAACACAATCTCCGCTCATTAATATTGTTCATTAGGTTCATTAATATTTAAAAGAAGGTCCAAGTCCATTTAATTTAATTCAAGCCCATTAACTTTATCCTAGGTCCATTGACTCTATTTAATTCCAAATCTATTAATTTTGTCAAAGTCTAATTTTTTTGGTTTTAGGGTTTATTACCGGGTAACTCCTAATTGAGTAAATAATTTTCTAATTTCAGAACATAATTAAATATTACTCATTTTATTTTAGATACTAGACATATTTATTTATAACATATCCAAAAATTAGGTCTAAATACCAAGTACACAATTAATTACAAATTTTTGAAACTTAGGGAGCAATCTGCCTAATAGTGGTTTATCTAGAGCTATCCATACTAAATCGGGTATAACTCCTTGTTCACGAATCCAATGACCAAGATATTTTAAAGGGAGTTATTTTAAACATAGATGAAAAACTTTTATGCTTTAAGTTTCACCTAGAAATCAATCTAAAATCCTTGAATATACACCCCAAAATTCGGACAGAATTGACTCCTTATTAACACTAATTTATTAGTTCATTCCAATCCAACTTTAAACATGTTTTAGTTAAGTTAAATTTGGTCCAAGTTCAATCCAACCCATCACCACATACTTGGACATTTTCAAAGCAACATAAACATCATAAATCATCACAACAAGGCATCCATACATAGATTTATTCTAAGCATCAAGCATATAACCATTGAAAATTATTACAACCCATGAAATAAACACTAACAAAATAACTTAAAAAAAATAATTTAAGACATTAATCAACCAAAATAAATGAAACCTACTTACCTCTTTTAAGTTTGATTAGAATTTCTTTAGCTCTTTTTCTTTCCTTTTTCCCTTTTCTTTCTCTTTTCTTTCTTTCTCTCTTTTTCTTGTTTTTCTCTCTTCAATTTGGCTTCTCTTTTGAATTCCGGATGGCTATGATTTTTGACCGAAAAATTGCAGCCATTTAACCCTCTCTTTCCCTTATATACCCACCTTTTATCCTCACATTTATTTATATCATAAGTGTTAAAATTTAATTAGGCCAAATGTAAAGTGGAGGAAGCTTGGAAGGCAAAGTCGGCATGTTTTGGAAGTCAAAGGTGATGATTTGGCTTCTAAGCATTTAATTCAAGTGCTTAGGTGGCTAAAGAAAAGTTAGGATAAATAAAAAAAAATTAGTAAGCTGGGTTAATGTAATTAGACAAATTTCTTTCATCAATAATTCAGAAATTCCATTTTTAAAATTCGAAATTTCTTTTCCCTCCAAAATTCCGAGTAGTGTTTCCTCCTAACTCATCTATACTAAAATGTGCATAACTCTTTCTATATGTATCCAAAATTTATGAATTTTATATAGAGATATTAAACACATAGACAAACAACTTTTATTCTTTACTTTTTTCTCAAAAATCATTCTAACGACATCAAATAAATCTCACAAGATTCAGGCGATTCTTCTCTCAAAATTCCAGCAAAATGCATTTCGAAAGAACCCTCACTATAATTGGTATAACTCTTAATGTGTAGGTCCAAATATTATAACATTTTATACAGGCATATTAAACACATAGATGAACAACTTTCATTCTTTAAGGGTGACCCAAAAATAACTCTAAAGTTCTCAAATAATTCACACAAAACGCAGGCAGAATATAGTTTTTAAAACACCGATTTTGCATATTTGATTTCTTTAATAATTAAACCATTAATCTTAAGCACAATAACTTTAATTTAACATAAATCACATATTTCAAGAATTAATTTCTCATGATGAAATGAGAATTATACTTACTCTTAATATACATATATATAGAATTATTCTAATACACGTCGCATTATGGATAAAGGTTTTTACGGGGGTTACGAGAGAGAGAGGAAGAGAGAGAGTGGGAAAGGTAGGCAAGGAGGGATGGAGAGAGGTGAGAGTGATTGAGGGAGAGAGAGAGGGAGAGAGGGGAGGAGAGGAAGAAGGAGTGAGATGAGGGAGAAGGAGGGAAGGAAAGAGAGGAGAGAGAGAGAATGGGAGAGAGGGAAAAAGAGAGGCAAAGAAGGAGGGAAAGGAAGAAGGAGAAAGGGAGATAGTAAGAGAGGGAGGGAAAGAAAAGGAGAGAGAGGAAGGGGAAAGGGTGAGAGAGGGAGAGAGGGATAGAGAGGGATAGAGAGGGAGATATGGAAATGGGGAGGAGAGTAGGAAGGAGATAAAGAAGGAGAGAAAGGAAGATAGAGAGTGAGGGAGAGGGGGTAAGGTAGAGAAGGAGAGAGAGGGAAAGAGATTAAGGGAGAGAGTGTGAAAGAGTGAGATGAGGGAGTTGAAAAAGAAATAGAGGGAGAAAAGAAAAAGGGATAAGGAGAGAGAAAGAGGGAGGGAGAGGGAGATCACGATGAAAGGATAGAGAGGGGGAGAGAGATAGAGGGAGAGGGAGAGAGGAAGAGGGAGTAAAAGGGAGGGAGCATGAGATAGAGAGGAGAGGGAATGGAAGGAAGAGAGAGGGAGTGAGAGGGAGTGAGAGGGAGATAGAGGGACAGAGAGGGAGGACATTTGAGATATTTTTTCAAAGGGAGAGGATGAGAGGAGGATTGTTTTAAGAGAGGAGAGAGATCCAAGAAATGTCAATCTTATCCAAGTCAAAAATTAGGCTTCTCTCTCCCACTCTATCTCTATCTCTTTCCCTCTCCCTCCCCCGTCCTTCCCTCCTTCCCTCTTCCTCTCCATCCCTCTATCTCCCTCACCCACCATCTCTCTTTCCCTCTCTCGAGCTTTGGAATTTATGGAACGAGTATGAGTATGGCAAAAGCTGAAGAAAAACTATCATCCCAATTTTGAGTTTTTTTATCCTAATTCGTACAAAGGTGATTCTATTACTCTATTAAAGTCCTCTCTCATTGCTCTTTTATGCATGATCCTTAGATGGTAGAATATGCTCATTAAATCTAACTTAATTAATTAGTTCTAATTATAATTAAGTTGTACATAACAAAATCGACCCAATATAATTTAAGAAGCCCAATCTTGGACTTGGATATGATTGACAATTATTGAATCTCCCTCCTTTCATAAGATGGTGCCACAACTCTCCAACAAGGGAGGGCAAGGGAAAGAGGGAGTGAGATGGGTGGTACCATCTTAAGAGAGAGGGTGGATGAGGGAGAGAGGGGGACGAGAGGGAGATAGAAGGAGTTCCATATTTACCATATAATTCAGTCCTCATATGGTAAAATAATGAAGGTGACTCAATAGGCCTAATCTTTATCATTACTTTCTTCCTCTACCTCTATTGATTATCCTTTGCCTCTCCCTCTCTATCTCTCTCTTTACCCATGGAGAATTCTCTCACCTTACCACCTTTTCTATGAATTCCTTTCCTAGGTCTCCTCCACTCTCTAACATTCTTTAATTCAAATCTCTCTCTTTAATGGGCTATCCAATAAGGTTGATGTTTATCCTCCCATCAAAATATCTTAAGGTTTTAATTAAATCTATTAGGCTTAGGTAGGTACCAAGAGTGAAGCAATGTGGGATCTCTCTCCTACCCTCTCTTTACCTCCCTCCTAGGCAGGTACCAAGAGTGAAGCAATGTGGGATCTCTCTCCCATCCTCTCTTTACCTCCCTCCTAGCAAGGTGATTAGCCCATTCTTATGTTTAGGATAGCTTCTCTCTAAATCAGATAAGCTCCAATAGATAATAGATCCTTTTGGAAAAGTAAAATTAATAGTTATATTTACACTTTGGTCATCTTTAGATTCTCTCTCCCTCTCACCTAGTGGATGGCTATTTGAATACCAAGTAATTCTTATTGGCCCAATCTTAAGAATAACCCTTTCTCTCCCCTCTTTTTCTATACATAAAACTAGTTATACGATTTTGCATAAAATATCAAGATTTGAATTTGTGGAAGTAAGGGACGGGGAGAAAATTTTCATCTAGTGGGTGTTTTCCCTCACAAAAATACTAACCTACTCTCAAGTATAGGATGGTGAAGTGATATCCTCATCATCCTATACTATAACAATGGGTTGTTCAATAACTAGGGAATTAATTAGAAATCATATATTGGATTAATAGATTGATGAGGTATTTGATACTAAAAGATAGATAGGAGAGAGTGAGATTATAGTTGAGAGATTACTCAATATGGGGTTAAGTGAATATTTGAAAGTTATCCATGCTAAGATATATTTTGCTAAGAGATGGTAAGCATAACAATCGAAATAGGCATAGTAATTGATCTTGCGAACCATGTTTTGCTATAATTGGGTCAAAACATTTAAGCTATAGGATTTCTAATATCATGAAAACCATGATAGTCATGAAAACCATTATTTTGCCTTTGTAATTATTAGTGTAGGTGCCCAAGATCCAACCATGTTTGGATGGGCTTGAGTTAATGTATTACCAATTATTCAACCTTTAAGTAATAACAAAGAGGGACCATCACTCTTACTCTTATTATTACTATTGGTCTAAAGAGGGTATGTTTTCCTTTACATAACTTTCTCTCTTCTCGGCATAAAATAGTTTGAGATTAAGAGTTTAAAGATCCTCTCTCTCTCTCTTCCTCTCATCCTCCATACTAAAGAAACATGATTGGGTTGTTTCAAGAGGGACTTAATAGAAAAGTGTTATATCCGGGTAAGTAATCTTGTTACCGATCTAATAACTTTCTAATGTGAGGGAAGGAGTTTATTGGGTACCGATATTTGACAATTCTCTAACTTAAACTCGTCAAAAACATCTTTAGTCCTATAATCTGTCTATATTGCTAGTTTAATTAATTGATCCTACACATTATTCCTATCTTTAGTCCTTCTCATGGTCAAATATAGGGAGAGAGAGAGATGAAGGGAAATTAAACCAAAGGTATCTAATGTAACACTCGATGTAACCTTAGTTCACTCGAATCTTATACAATTGTATAAGCTAGAACAATCTTTCTCCAATATCAAAACACGCACAATTTCATGAAAAATATCTATCATTGTAATATCATCAATATTATAGCATGTACAATTTTTGGTCCTCCCAATACTGACTCCAAAGACATATATGTTAATGCTTGGATGATATTTTCTTGGTCCAATTTATTAAAGGTTTTTGAGAAATTGTACGGACCCTATCATTTGAAAGAGGTAACCACCTTCTTAGATTATAATATTAACTAATCATATAGATTATTCTTCGACTTGCTTGGACCATCACTAGTTTTAGATTCGTCCGTTTACTTGTTAAAATGATGGGAATCCCACGCATGTCGGATAATTATATTGGTTATAGACTATTGTAATCCCCAACCTATGTAATCTCATTATATTGGTGATATACTATCCTACGTGCTAATCCCATATACTAGTGTAAACATGTGATCACCCGTAATTATCAAAATTATATCGCAAGAATAGGGGGATTCGTTACCAATAATATAGCCTATTGTCAATAAGATGCTATTTCATCTTTCATTTTACGGTTCCCTTTTAAGCGTTTGGGAATAATATGACATATTAGGCAAGAATAATAATCATGTAGGCCATTCACATGATTATATTAACTTCTTAAATTGTGATATAAGAGTGGATAAATACCCAATAAGGGCTTTATAATCAATTTTGATAAACAATTTGGAATATCATGCTAAACGCATAACTCCTTACCATATTATAATTCAGAAAGGGTTATTATCTAATTACCCATCATTTGAAAGAGGTAACCACCTCCTTAGATTAGACTATTAACTAATCATATAGATTATTCTTCAACTTGCTTGGAACATCATTAGTTTTAGATTCACCTATTTACTTGTAAAAATGATGGGAATCCCACTCGAGTCGGATAATTATATTTGTTATAGACTATTGTAATCCCCAACCTATGTAATCTCATTATATTGGTGATATACTATCGTACATGCTAATCCCATATACTAGTATAAACATGTGATCACCCGTAATTACCAAAAATATATCGCAAGAATAGGGGGATTAGTTATCAACAATATAGCCTATTGTCAATAAGATGCTATTTCATCTTTCATTATATGATTCCCTTTTAAACGTTTGGGAATAATATGACATATTGAGCAAGAGTAATAATCATGTAGGCCATTCACATGATTATATTAACTTCTTAAATTGTGATATAAGAGTGGGTAAATATCCAATAAGGGCTTTATAATCAATTTTGATAGACAATTTGGAATATCATTCTAATTAAACGCATAACTCTTACTATGTTATAATTTAGAAAGGGTTATTATGTAGTTATCCATCATCATAATATATGGGTGATGTATAGGATATTATTAGGACAATACTTCGATTATAATATAGGATTAATAATGGAGGAATATCCAATGTATCAATTAACATGTCCATGTGAAAGTAAATCAAGGCGGAGAGGTAGGTAGATTACTTGGAGTTTCTAACATAATATTAATCTATGACCGAATTGGGGACCAATAATATAATCCGTTATACTTTGATAATTACTAATGCTGGAGTAAGTTGACAGTAAGGGTGTTAGAAACTCTTAAGGTAGGGGAATCCAAAGGGATATTATGTATTATACTAATATAAGAGGTAAGTCTATAAACTATAGAATTGATCTTTAGATCTATCAATTAAATTCACCCTATCATCAAGGAAACCATGACCTATAAGGTCCCATTTATAATAGACATTGATATTAAGCAATTGACAACTTACGAGTGGTTGCCATGTGTCTTGATAAAAGGTAATGAGTATATGATAATATTGATCACTCCATCTGAAAGCTATAAATAATACTCTAATATCCATGCTCTAATATAAACTTATGGTAATATCCCTATATGCTTATCCCTCGATCACTCACCCTAATCTATTTGGTATGTCTATATTGTACTTATTAGGATATTTCTAATAGAAAAAGGCACAATCTAAATTATGCAAACCATGAGGCAATGCATATAAGGTAAATAAAGGGGAACATCGGATGGATTGTTCCTCTAAAATAGAGGAATAAGGATTATTGACTATGGAGGGGGAGAGATTGAAGAGTTTGGACATTTTATAATTAAGCTATTGTGATGGATAAACTATTATATAGTCGATAATAACTTAAAATAGAAATCTTATTGTAATGGATAGTCAACTCATAATTGGTTTCCCTCTCTCTTAATAATTACTAATGTTTCATATTGCACGTGGAGGAAGATAGTTGGTTAGGGTTCCTCCGAATTAGTTCATGGCCTAATCCATTTTTTAGTAATTAAGCTATTTACCATTCACGACTTGAGATATTGGACCGAGAGAAATTAGACGAATTGAACTTATCCATTTCCCGATTATACATTGTAGATCAATGTAGAGTAATACCCTCATTCCAATTTTTGGAGTATAGGATAACCTATCCTCAACCCTCATGGAATTGATCTCCCTCTCTTTATCCACCTAAGGAGAGTTGTACCGCATCTCTCTCCCCGTCGTAGTCTATGATAATACCAAGGGGAATAAAACTATTAAGTTTTGAAAGGATTTGAAAGGATAGAAGGACTATTTAAGCATGATAGATGATAAAGAGGGACATAAATAATGATGAGAGAGTAATCTTCAAAACTAAGAGAGAGGGTAAATATTACTAGTATATCAATTAATACAACCAATAGATTGTTTCCAATTCATAGAGCCACTAACTATAGTTTCTTCTTACAAATTTAGTTTGAGATGCCACAATGTCTAAGGAATATCACCTATAGTTAATGTTATGAGCCTTACTATTCAAATTTATTATACGGGGGCAATATTATAAATTATTGTTTTGTTCTAACAATGATATAAGTAACTTATAGCATAATTAAGTTGGGGAGAGCGGAGACGGTGAGGGAGAGGGAGGGAGTGTTAGAGAATAATATAAATTATATTACGAGGCTCCACCTATTACCTTAAGCTTTTAGGTTGGATAGTCCTTTAATATGGTATTAAACCTTGATTGACCAAGAGGTTCCGAGTTCAAGTCTCACTATCCCTAATTTCTCAAGTATTAAGCACAAGGCAATTTGGATCTATGCAAGTTTCAAATCCAATGTTGGGGCTTTCACTTGAGAGAATGTATTAGAAACTAAAATAAATTATATTATGAGACGTCACCTATTAGCTTAATTTTGTATGTGAGATGGTCCCTTAATAGGGAGAACTCACCAAAATTTGGCCAAAGGGGCTCTAGCCTTTATTTTATAGATGGCTTACATTGATTCAATCACCATAATAGGAAAATTACCTATATAGGATAACGTCGACCAATTATATTATGACGATTAGGGTTCACCTAATCAATTAAGTCTATAATGAGATCATAGTGAAAAAAGCTAGTTTCAATAACAAAATACATTGTATACTAATGGGAATCCGACTAATGGCCATAACTGAAGTAATGGGAGTATAACTATTATGATCTTATAAATTAAGATCTAATAGTGGCCTCTAATAATATCCCCCTCCCTCTATCCCCCGATAATTCGATTTACCATGGATTATCCTCCTTTTAGTATTCTGAATAATACTAGGTAAAATTAACTCCAAGAGATTATAATCTTCTATTTCTAATAAACCCTCCATGAGGTCTTTGATGCTCGACATTATTGTGATGACCCAATAATTGATATCGAAGTATTATAATGATACTTATTGGTAAGTTCATCCTCCTATTATCTATAAAGGAATCAACTTAATATAGAATTGAGTAAATATAAATGTGATGTATAGATGTTTTGTTAATTAATAAAAATGAGTTATGAATTTTTAATTTTTCTTTACAATTAGTACTAGAGTTGAAGTAATGTAAATAGGTGTATAATATTTAGACCTAGTTATGATTGATCGGGAACTACAAGAATAAGTATGGACATAGAGAGATACCATAGAGACATGAGTGTGTAACCTAACGTCGAAATTGCTCTATATACATCCACTAGCTTCACCTAAGAGACTTAACCATTATTAACGCATAGATATATCATCCTCATTATTATGATCGAATTTTATTAATATTTAAATATTAACCAACTCTCGCTAATAGCCTTGGGGATATTCTTAATAGTCTCTATCTATGTGGAGAGGGTAAAAAACTTGAAATGAGGGTATTATAGACCCCTTGATCATTTAAATACCTTTTCATTTAGACCTTAATGTTAAATAAGATCATTAAGGTTAACCAAGAGGGATCTTTAAGGGCATTCTAATAGGTGGAAGAAATTGTGGCGGGATTAATATCAACTCGCATTATGTTTGGACTACCATTCCATGGTAGGTAATTAACCTTATATGTACCTCCTTTCGTACATATGCTTGTAAAGGTGTCTTAATGCCCATATCAACTATACAAGAATTGGAGGAACATATCCTCCACTCTTTCCCTATCCTATTCAAATCGCTATTACCCAACATGATCATTCCCCTCTAAGGTCCAATAAGGTTAATTACCTCCAAGTTAGACCACTAGCCATTAAATAAAGCTCATTAAGATAAAGGAGGGAATAAGTTACTCATACTCTCTTGGATGTGTTAGAGACGGGGTAGAGATGTCAATCATGACAAATTGCACCTAAAGATTTGAGGGCTTAATCGACCGGACACCTCCATTAGCTAATGTTTCATTGTTCCTCTATCCTCTCCGTGGGCAGTAAGACAACATCTATAAATGGATGGTTTTTTAACTCAAAAGGCAACAAATCCATTATAAATAGGTAAATCAACTTCTTAAGCACTACGGAAGATGTAACCTATTTCTATATTTTCCAAGGGAGAGAGGGATAGAGGGAGAGAGATGGAGAGGGAGAGAGGAAAAGGGAGGGAGAGAGAAATGATATGGTGTATTTGTATGTACACACGCCTCTATCGATAATCTACGTAGTTTAAGCACCCACACAAGAAGTTTTCTAAAATTATAGAATGCTATAATAAACTATCAAAACATATAGTACTAAAGTGAGCACTTATTATATTATTATCAAATAACATATTTAAATAATTATCCGTTATATAATTATAAGGATGTTTGAATATCAATATGATATAGGATGTGCTTTATCTTGGGATTATCACTAGTTTTCAATAATCCTCAATATTTTGTCCCTCACAAATCGCAATTGTATTGTGAACTTGGAAAATATTTCTTTATCAAGGATCATGAACTTTTTGAATGACCATCACTATCTTTTTGCCATTAATAGGCTCGTGCCAAATTATTAATGGATAGCCTCCCTCTCTCTCAAGCGTCTACCTCTCCTTTAAGGTAGAGCAAAGGGTATTTTAAAGAGCGTTCAATAGGTGGATGTTTATCCTCCATGTTCGAGAGAGGCTCCTCCACATGATAGGCAATATCCTTAAATAGAGTCCTCGAGAGAAACAATAATTAAGGTGGTTAATTAGACCTTTTACCGTGGAGCTTAAATCCATGTCCCTCTTGTCTATATAGCAAATGAAAGATAGTCTCCATTAATTACAATACTAAGGTGGCAGAATAAAAGTTCTATTGCTCCTAAATATCATCCAAGTATACTAAGGATTTATCCTTCTAGTATAAATAAGATGTGATCGTATTAAACATCTTATTATTACTTCCATGTTTAGATGGTAATCACTAAGTTAGGGTCACTTAAGATAGGTCGATTACAAGGATAGCTTATAATACATTTCCAAAAGGATATATTGTTAGGTGGGTGATAATAGATATGCTTATGTTAGCATAAAACTATAGTTAGTCCTAATTTGGCTTGTATGTAGGAATATAGATTGTAATGGGAATTAAATATAGACTTTCCCTATTATCAGAATAATAATGACACAATATCCCGCCTTGATTAAGAGAGGTATTGAGATGATATAGCGTAGCCTTTGGAATATAGCTGACCAAACAAGTTCTTGGTGACCGTTGGGAGGAAAGTTTGTATTTAATTCCCATTACAATCTATATTCCCGCATAGAGGCCAAATCTAGACTAGCTATAGTTTTATGCTAACATAAGTATATCTATTATCACCCTCTAACTATTAGTTCTTTGCAATATAATAGAAATACTCCTAGTGACTAGAAGATACTCTAATCCCTCTTCCTCTCTATCCCTCTCCCACTCTCTCCCTCTCTTGCTCATTTTAATGGTATCATGCCCTCCTAAAATATTTGTCTACTATCCATCACATACCCATGAATAATCGTCACAGTTCATATCTTGTTTTAACAAATAATATTGTATTATCTATACATCACCCCTCGCAAGAACATACCCCTAATCGTATGCCTACGGATAGAGACTAATGCAACTTTAGCATACCATGCTAAGCTAATTATTATGAATAAATCATGGTCCATAGATATCCTTTTAATATCTATTGCCCCCTTTTCTCATGTATTCCTCTCTTTCATCATAAGACTTACCATTAGATAGAAGGTCAAATGAAGAACAGGTATTGTTTAGTTAAAACAAGATATGAACTGTGACAATTATTCATGGGTATGTGATAGAACCCCCTCCTCTCTTAAAATGGTGCCACATTGCTCATATGGAGATCATATTAGGGAGCATAATATGATTTTTAGACAATTATAAATGATATCATTAAATATTGATATAAATACATATTGACAATTTAAATCAAATATAATTTATCTTAAATTCACTAAATAATCCCATGGTGTATTATAAACTATTATAATACAAACGAGGCTAATTTGTTATGCTCCTGATTTGGTGAATTATCATTAGCCTTTACATGTCTTTCTCTTAACTGATTGTTTATTCTCTTTATAGGTAAATTCACCTTTTCAATAGTTACCTTTTACTCTCCTAGACTGAATGGAGAATTAATAAATAGACCCTAACTCTAATTCCCAAGTAACAATTAGAGGGAGAGTTTACGAGGGAGAGTACGATTGTCTCACAAAGTCCTTGGGAACAAGAGATGGTCATTTGATATTAAAAAAAATTTAAGTTTAATATTGTCTAGTAAAATATCTATTGACCTCTATTATTCAAGTGGAGCACATATTTAAGGGTCGAGTTGGTTAATAACCCCTAGGTCATCCAAAAGGATATGATCCCTAAGTCATTATCTCACTTCACAAGGTTTATGACCAAGAAGTAAGGTGTTCTCCTTTAGATTATATCCAATAGGAGAAGAGATGGGTTCCCTATGTTAATTGGTCCTCTTAGCTATAATTTAAGGAGGGATAGGGATCTAACAAACGATCATGTAGATATTGAAGGTAAGGTTAATATCTTCATTTTCAAGTTATAGGGATGGATTAATACCCTATTATCATTCCAAGAATCCAACACATTGAATTTATATTTATTATCAATCGAGTAATATCTAGTTTCACGATCCTTGTGAATATTAAAAAAATATTAATTTCTCTAGGTAAAGGCTCCAATCATGTGAAAAAGGATATATTCAGTTTGATTGATTAGGGACCTTAATCTAATAGCTTTATTACTACCAAATAGAGAGGGGGAGAAAGGGTGAAAGATCCGCCCCTAGTTCCTATTGACATGAATTCACTTTTGGATGTTATGGCAACAGAGTGTGATTTCCCCTTTTATGAGGCCCTATCATTAGATGCTTTCTCCCTCTCTCCATCTCTCCATAAGAGGGAGATGGGAGAGAGTGAATCACCTTAATGGTCCCAAATATGAAATAGGGAAAGCGAGCGAGAGAGGGATAGAGGGAGAGAGATGGAGAGAGAGATAGAGGGAGATAGGTAAGGAGAGGGAGAGAGGAAGAGGGAGGGAGAGAGATAGAGAGATATAGAGAGGGAGAGAAGGGAGAGGAAGAGGAAAGGGTAGAATAGAGAGAGTAAGGTAAAAAGAGAGCGAGAGAGAGAGAGGAAGTAAGAATGTCTTGGTTAATAGATTACTAATAGCCAACATATGGGATAATATATGACATACTCTCCTAGATAATTTTCTAATGGAGGTAAGAATATTAGCTTTAACTCTTATTCTCTCTCCAACTCACTCTCCTAATATTTTGGCTATTAATAGATAGAAGATTACTATGTAATAAGTTGATGTGATCTATTAACCAAGACATTCTTACTTCCTCTATTTCCTTTTATTTCCTCCATATAGGATAATATCATGTGAACTATTATTTATAAGTTTATCCCTCCAAACAATAAAGGCTTTCATATAAATCTTAATTCTTTTGTTAGAGAGAGGGAAAGGGAAAGAGAGGGAGTGTGGAGAGGGGTTCAATATATTTGGTCCCTGCCTACCTCATACTCTTATAGAATTAAGAGGGAGAAAGGAATCTAATGGTGAAATCATCTTTTATAGTTTTTTAACATAATGCAAACTAATAGACTTTGGAATTTATGAAACGATATAAGAATGGCCAAAATAGGAAGAGAGGGAATAAAAAAAAGGGGGAGAGATAGAGAGTGAGAGGGAGAGGGAAAGGAAGCTTAGGCCCTATTTATATGTGCATGTAAGGGATAGAGGGAGGATACCAAATAGTAGTTTGATTGGAATACCTCTCAAAGTGATTGTACCTAAGAGTCATGAGGAACATAATTTCCTATAGAATTATGGAGTTCTCTTGTAATCCATTTAAATATATATGAGTTGAAGGAGAATGTACATGTGAAAGATAGGGATACGTAATAATCTCCTTCCTCCTCTCATCCTCTCCATACACGACGACCATTTGATCTGTCATGTATGCCATGTTATGTTCACCTCTCCAAATTATTATAGGGTAGACTATTTTTCTTATTCAAGAAGAAGGGGGATACCCTTATTATATAGCTTTGGGTGTACCAAGGATAGATCGTATCCTATTCTTTTACGAAATAGGCCTCTTATATAACTCTCATTCTTGAATAACTTTCAAAGAGATAGATGGAGCTAGGTCCAAGAAAATTACAAATTCCTTTGTCGATGATAGAGAAGGAATAAAAGGCCTATTTCGCATGCTCCTCATGACTCTTTGATTTATTATCCATCTCTTTCTACTTTCAAGATCGATCCCTCACTTTATTCCTTTATATCTCCGAATATTAGGGATGGTAATGACATGAGTCTATTAGAAAAGGTGAATTAGATTGATGGAATTGAATAACCAACGACAAACTAATTGGTAGAGTGAGATGGTAAGTTGTCACTCTCTTACTATTAATCATTCCCTCTCTCCTACATTAAATCATTAACTTGGCAAAAAAACTCAAAATGGAGATTAATTACATTGTATTTTCCTCCTCTATTGTTGATCATATATGAACATTCTCGCTCTAATATACTTAAATCCCATATCATGCCATATATCTTATATGCTTAATGGAATATACTATTTGGCATATTATATTATTTTACTATAGATAATACAAGTTCCCCTAAAATAATTAAAAGTAGGTTATTAAATCTAATTAATATCTCATCCCAAATCATTTAAGGGTAAAATAATATATTAGATATTGGTTTACCATACTTTCAAGTTGAAATAATTGGTTTTTATAAAGGCTATTGGCATCATGATCCTTCTAGTGGGTTAGATAATATGAGGTCTTATCCGACCATGAGAATATTTTACCCATGTCACAAATGACAAATTGATACCCCTCTCTCTCCTTCACTCTAGACGTTAATGATGAAAGGGAGAGAGAAGGGAGGATTATCTAAGCCAAAGATGGGTTGAGAAACAAGGGTATTTATCTATATTAAATATTATTAATGAAGTTACAAAAATAATATCATCTTATTATTTCGATATACTAATTGATATAATTATTGATAATATTTTACAATATAGTAAATTAATGATTAATATATTACTAAGAAGCTCCCCTGCTATGGTTAATCTACCAAATAGTAAATCACTTTCTCCTTATAACCGAAATCGAAGATGACTATAGGATAAAATTGGTTATCCCTATCTCGCTTGGGAAGTTTCCACACCTCCAATTATTCGAGTGAGGGCTCTCTCCTACCTAAAGACAAAGGCCCAAAAGATTGGCAATGTTACCATATAGTATCTCTCCTTGAATCGGCTTCCCTCTCCCTATCTTTAATCCACAATATATGCTTTTAAGTCCATTAGGGTTTGTGAGAATTGATTTTAGCCCAACCTAGCTCTTTCTCCCTCTCCCTCTCTCTCTTTCCCTTGCCCTCCCTCGTTGGAGAGTTGTGGAAAGGGAGTGTTAGGGGCATAATCTCGTTGAGAAGGAGAGAGGGAGACGAAGGAAAATTTTTTTGATTTGCGAGAAAGAAGAGAGTATGTTGATTAACTTTCCCTCTTTATGGGCTCTCTCCCCCTCTATCCCTCTATCTATAGACGAAGATCCCAATAGTTCTTGTTAATTTCATATCGAGCATCCCTTAACATGGAAAAAGGGTTGGACTATTACTTTCCATTTTGCTAAGCTCTTAATCGAACATATTAGACAAATCCAAAAAGCAAACACAAATGGTAGAACCGAAGTTAAACTCTTGAAAGTAAATCAAGGCGATCTTGTAAAATTCCCTCTTTCGATCATTTATCCTCACTATTTGAGACAATTGCTCAATTATCTCTCATTTCCGATGAATGGATAAATACCAACTTAATACCTTCATGAACAACTTGATTTTTAGGATGCCTTTTTAAGCAAATTTCTTGTTGAGAGAGAGACAGAGAGGAAGACCTCAATTCTATCATGCTTAAATAGTCTTCCAAAGGATTTCTATTATAACTAATGGCATCTCTTTGGAGGATTAGGAAGCAACAACTTCTTCTCTCCCTCTTTGATAAGAATCCAAATGATAATTAAGAGGTTGATGAGAATTCAAATGCTAATCAAGAGGTTGAAGAGAATCCAAATGCTAATCAAGAGGTTAGCCGTGGGCTTGGGCTTTAGGAGGCTGATCCATTGGCCATCTATTAGGCCTAATCACAAAGGCTAGGGTTAAGAAGTTTCATGAGTCCTTACATGGGTTTATTCAACATCAATGGGCTGATCTCTCCATCACTAGGCTTAAAGAACATCAATTGGGCCTTATGAATCTAATTTATGTTATTTAGCTAAAGTTTCGGACCTATAATCCAATTTGGTCGAACTTTCTTATCTTGATGTTTTAGGCCAAGATTTTTAAGTGGCAACTATAAAATCATCCCACTTCTAAGCCAAAGTCACCATTATTTTCAAGTTAAAAAAATCAAGCTTTGGGGCTAAAATTCTAGATGCTCGAATTCAAGGAGTTTTTTCTATTTTCAAGTAGTCTTATTGAAAGCTTTGTTGGATCCAATATTTTAGATTATTAGATCTTATGTAACTTTAATCAACTTAGTCTTTCTAAATTTCCAACACCTATTTATGTAAAAACATCATGTATTTTTGGGTTTAATCAATCTTTGAATCAAATCAACCTTTGTGAGAAAATTGACATCTTAATTCTTTTTAAAACTGGATTTTAGAACTTATCAAGAATCTAATTCGATTCTTATGGCATTCAAATGACTTATCAATCCCTTTCTAACCTTTTCTGGAGTGTGGCATCCATATCCTTCTAATGTAATTTGGTTTTTCGGGAATTCTTCCTTCTTGTTCGTGGGTTCTCTAGCCATCGAGCTAGGTGGGTTCACATCGGTTGGTACTAGAGCTTGGCTCTAAATTAGGTTTTTTTTTTTTTTTATCTTTTGTTCCATTTTGTGTCTTTGTAGTTTCATTTTAGTCCAAATTGAGTTAGTTCCAAAGTTTTTTTTTAAAAAAAAGAAAAAAACGAAAAGGAAGTCTAATTTTGCTTTGTTTCTATCCAATTGTTCTAAATCGCGTATGTTATCTTCTTCTCTAGTTCTAAAGTTTTCTTCTTGTTCTAAATCTGAAAAAAAAAAAAAACATAGCACTACATTGAAAATGTGCCAAGGTTACCAAAAACGAGTCGTTAAGATATTTTGCCATTGAAAAAAAACAAAAAAAGAAAAAGCAATAGTAGATTTGTATCATTTCATCTAAAATAAGTAGTTTTTTTAAAAAACAAAAAAGAAAAAAAGAATTAGTTTGGTTGCTTAAATCAATAATTTAAAAACATCATTTGCGTGTGCTAAATTGATTGTGTTCAGCTTGTTTTCATTATCAAATTTGCTTAACTTAGTAGCTCGAAAGTCTATTTATTGCATTTCATATCGGTAGCTAAAAGAAACTTATGTGCTAACCGATTATGATTAATTTCTCTCCAAAACAATCTACTTGTATTTTTTTTTTAGTTCAATTCAAGTCGAGTCTAGTGTCAATCTTATTGTCCAAAAGCTTAAAATTCTTGTTTGAATTGGTTTGAGAATTTCTTATTCCAAATTTTATCCAAAATCCGATCCTTGAAAAGTGAATCCGATTCAAGCAATTGTTTATCACTTGTAGTTGGTTAGTTCTTGTATAGTTTGGATTAGTTTATGAAAGAACCAAGGGAGTGAAATAGAGTGGTAAAAGGCTAGAGTTTGAGAGCGTATTAAAGAAAAAGCCTAAAAGAGAGTAAACAAGAGTTTTTAGTGACATCAAATCAAGGAAACATGTGAGGGAGTATTTTTGAGGATTTTTGTTACTAACATCTTCTT